GGATTGCAACGCCCCAACAATTCCAGGAACAGCTGTTGAAAATTGACCACTGTCTGGAAAATCTTCCGGCTCCTGCGCCCTACATCTTGCTCTTGGGGGATTTCAACTTAAGGCACCTAAAATGGAGGAATATAGCAAATAATGTTGTTGCAGTGATAACACCAGGAGGCAGCTCAGACGAGAACTCACACACAGACCAGCTTTTAAATCTCTGCATATAATTCAACTTAAACCAGCAAATAATAGAGCCTACTAGATTGGAGAATACATTGGACCTCATCTTCACTAACAATGATGATCTGATACGAAATGTCACCATATCAAAAACAATATACTCGGATCACAACATAATCGAGGTTCAGACCTGTATGCGAGGAGCCCCAGACCGACAAAATGGGATCAATCACGAGGGAGCCTTCATCAAATTCAATTTCAGTAACAAGAACATAAAGTGGGACCAAGTAAACCAAGTCCTAAATAATATAAGCTGGGAAGATAGACTAAGCAACACAGACCCCAGCTTACGCCTAAAACAGATTAACTCTGAGGAGTAGATGTAAAATAGAAAGAGACAGGCGCTCTCTTTACAGGCGACGGAAAAGAATAACAGAGCGGCTAAAAGAGGCCAATATATCTGCAATGCGTAGGGAGACACTGGTCAGAGAAATAGCAAACATCGAACTAAAGCTAAAGGAATCTTATAGGAGTCAGGAATCGCGGGAAGAACTAAAAGCCATAAGTGAAATCGAAAGAAACCCAAAGTATTTCTTTTCTTATGCTGAATCAAAGTCGAGAACAACATCAGTATTGGGCCCCTACTTAAACAAGATGGGTCCTACACAGATGACAGCAAAGAAATGAGTGAGCTACTCAAGTCCCAATATCACTCAGTTTTTAGCAAGCCGCTAACCAGACTGAGAGTCGAAGATCTAAATGAATTTTTTTTTGAGAGAGCCACAGAATTATCCTGACGCCAAATGACTTCGAACAGGCGATAAATGACGTACTCATGCACTCTGCCCTAGGGCTAGACTCTTGGAACTCCGTGTTCATCAAGAACTGCAAGAACGTGCTTTTAACATCCTATGGAGAGGGAGCATGGACACGGGGGTCGTCCCACAGTTACTAAAAACAACAGATATAGCCCCACTCCACAAAGGGGGCTAACATCTCATATCATAAAAATCTTTGAAAGGGTCCTAAGAAGCAAAATCGCCACCCATCCAGATACCCATCAGTTACACAACCCAGGCAACATAGGTTTAGAGCAGGTTGCTCTTGTCTGTCCCAACTACTGGATCACTACGACAAGGTCCCAAATGCACTAGAAGACAAAAAGAATGCAGATGTAATATACAGACTTTGCAAAAGCCTTCGACAAGTGTGACCATGGCGTAATAGCGCACAAAATGCGTGCTAAAGGAATAACAGGAAAAGTCGGTAGATGGATCTATAATTTCCTCACAAATAGAACACAAAGAGTAGTAGTCAACAGAGTAAAGTTTGAGGCGGCTACGGTGAAAAGCTCTGTTCCACAAGGCACAGTACTCGCTCCCATCTTTTCCTCAACTTCATATCTGACATAGACAAGGATGTAAGCCACACCACTGTCTTCCTTTGCAGATAACACCCGAATCTACATGACAGTGTCTTCCAGTGCAGACACTGCAAGGCTCCAGGCGGACATCAACCAAATCTTTCAATGGGCTGCAGAAAACAATAGGAAGTTCAACGATGAGAAATTTCAATTACTCCGATATGGTAAACATGAGGAAATTAAAGCTTCATTAGAATATAAAACAAATTCCAGCCACACAATAGAGCGAAAAACTAACGTCAAAGACCTGGGAGTGATCATGTCGGAGGATCTCACCTTCAAGGACCATAACATTGTATCATTCGCATCTGCTAGAAAAATGACAGGATGGATAATGAGAACCTTCTAAACTAGGGATACCAAGCCCATGATGACACTCTTCAGGTCGCTTGTTCTATCTAGGCTGGAATATTGCTGCACACTAACAGCACCTTTCAAGGCAGGTGAAATTGCTGACCTAGAAAATGTACAGAGAACCTTCACGGCACGCATAACGGAGATAAAACACCTCAATTACTGGGAGCGCTTGAAGTTCCTGAACCTGTACTCCCTGGAACGCAGGCGGGAGAGAGACATGATTATACACACCTGGAAAATCCTAGAGGGACTAGTACCAAACTTGCACACGAAAATCACTCTCTACGAAAGCAAAAGACTCGGCAGACGATGCAACATCCCCCCCAATGAAAAGCAGGGGTGTCACTAGCACGTTAAGAGACAATACAATAAGTGTCAGGGGCCCAAGACTGTTCAACTGCCTCCCAGCACACATAAGGGGGATGTCTTCAAGCAGGCACTGGACAAGCACCTAAAGTCGGTACCTGACCATCCGGGCTGTGGCTCGTACGTTGGATTGCGTGCAACCAGCAGTAACAGCCTGGTTGATCAGGCCCTGATCCACCATGAGGCCTGGTCACAGACCGGGCCGCGGGGGCGTTGACCCCCGGAACTTTCTCCAGGTAAACTCCAGGTAATTCCACTCCCTTCTTCACACATTCTCCTCCTTCTTCCTCTTCCACATTCTCTACCTCCACTTTCTTTCTCTGTACTTTCTTAATCTGTATCACCACCAACTTTTCCCCCACCGCTTCGCCCATCACCACCACCACATACCTCTTCCACTGTTACATCCTTGGGAGGTATGCGCCTCCAGCGGTTGACGCGCACCATTACTGAGGCGTCGACTACCTTTATGTAGGCCGCTACAACAAACACGCTCCGTTTATCTTTGGCAAACTCGAGAGAAGCTCAGGCGTGATTATACGTCCATGGCAGAAGATGAAGTGTTGGAAACCGTAACCTAGATTTAATGCCTGTCAGATATCAGATGAGAGTCGGTGGAGCCTGTAGAGAGACTTGACTGTGTTGTCATAGTAGCTAGATGGACGCTGAGAGATGTGTATAAGGTGATGTGATAATTTTCAAGTTTTCACAACACAGGATTAAACACACATTCTCTCTCTCTTTCTCATCTGTCTGCTACCCTTCCACCCCTCCTCCCTCTCTCATTCCCATCCCTGTCCGATTTTTATCCTTCCTCGTTCCCCTATTTTTCTCCCCTCTATCTGTTTTATCTCATTCTGAAGTCAATCCATCATAGTCTCTCGAAGGTGCCACTGCAGTTACTCACCCAGATGCGATTGAGTGGGTTGAGTTCCGGCTCCTGGTCCCTCGTCTCGACTTCTCATGATCGGTCACATTTTCTTGCTCAAGGGCTCAATCATGCCTTTGATATACCTTTCTACTCCTGGAGCCCAGCCATGTACCAGGCTTTTCTGGTGCTGACCTGGCCAGCCAGGCTGTTGCTGCTCTCGACCCACATTCCCACATATCCATCACAGCCTGGTTGATCTGGCACCAGTGCCTACTCATAACTGTGTACGAACTCTTGTTCCCCTCAAAGAAGGTTCCTTGATCATGGTGAGGGCTCTTGAGTTAAGGAATTGGACCAGTACTCCAATTCCTTGAATCAAGCCTAAATGCTTTTCATTCCCCGAGGTACTGTCTAGCCCCTATGGGTTTAGTTCTCTCTCATGAATGTAATAATAATAATGTACGACTTTTCTACGGGTTTCTCGTCTAGATCATTCTACTACCCAGTTATTACTACATGAGACTGAAGATTCTCTCTCTCTCTCTCTCTCTCTCTCTCTCTCGTGTGCTCGTGTGTATTCATGTCAGCACCTATAGGTGTGTTCTTATGAGTTGCTGGTAATCCTGTAATAGGGTCCTCAAGTGTGTTCTCACATGTTGCTGATCCTCGTGTGTTTGGATTTACAGGTGTGTTCTCATGTGTTGCTGGTGATTTTGTATTAGGATCCTTAAGCATGTTCTCCTGATTTCTTGCTTTTCTCTTGGCAAGATCGCCTAGGTTGTGCACGTTACGCCGGTTACTTATGGAGAGCACTGACTGCCTAATGTGCTGGAGTTATTTCCTAGAAGTCCTGTTTAAATGACTGGTGCATGAAAAGGGAAATAAAGTTGAGTGCTGTTCTTCACTGACAACTTTTCGCCCACACAATGGGCTTTGTCAAGTCTCAAACGAATATACCGGGAGAGAGAGAGAGAGAGAGAGAGAGAGAGAGAGAGAGAGAGAGAAGAAGAAGAAGTAGTGATGTGAAGAATCAGGTGAGGTATGCTGAAGCTGACTTATGCGTAGACTAATGACAGGCTGGAAAAACATAACTGAGAAGAATTTGGGATTCGAGAAAGACTTCCTAGTATGGGCCAGTAGGCCTACCACTGTGTTCCTTCATGCTATGTAGGATAACGATCAAGAAGTTTCCTGATAAGAGGCTCATCTTTGTTGTAGCAGCAGTTCTTCTGGATGAGGTCGTTTGGTATACTGATTAGTGACATTTCCAAAGTCCTTCGTTTTGAAGTGTCTTCTTTGACAATGACGCACGACTCTGTCATAGAAGACACTTAACGAAAGATTTTGGAATCATCATTAATCAGCGTATCAAACGACTTCAGAACAAAGGTTTCTACAACACAGCTTAGCCTCTTGCCAGGAAACTTTTAGCTCTTTTTCCACATAGTTAACTATGATAGCGAAACATTGTCAAGAAAGGAACTCATTATACTGCATTTGTGTCTTTATCCGCGCTGAATGACTCTTGTAGGTTTAGCGTTTCTTTTTCTTTTATAATAATAATAATTAATAATAATAATAGTGTCTTGATCCATCGAGTCGGTCTTTCATACCATTTCTCTCGACTGTTTTTTATTGAATGTATGTTTGTGGTGTCTATGATGGTGGGGATAGTTGACTGCGTTCATTGTCCATATATACTGAATGACGATTGCCTACATGGTTTTTCACTCGTGTAATGCGAAGTTAGGTGGTTGCCGGTATAGTCCAGGCCCAGATTTATGGAAAATTTAAAAAGGAAAATTGCCGTGACCCCGGAGTGACTCGAACACCCAGCCTTCTGATCTGGAGTCAGACGCGCTACCATTGCGCCACGAGGCCCCTGGTTTCGAGTGCTATGACCGTCACCTTAAGATAATTTTAAGATATAGTAAGGAAACTGGTTAAGATAAGATTTCGTTCGGATTTTTAACCTCGGAGGGTTAGCCACGCAGAATAACCCAAGAAAGGCAGTGCGTCATCGAGGGACTGTCTGTCTTATTTCCACTGGGGCCCTCAATCTTATCCCACCAGGATGAGACCCCCACAAGTCGACTAACACCCAGGTACTGCGTTGCTAGGTGAATATTACACTGCCAAAGTCGTTCCACGAACTGCTGTTATATCTGAAGACAGACGTGAGATTACTGACTGACGTGTTTATGGAATGGCGTAGAACACTCAGAGTTATATACAATTTAGATGTTAGAAATTATGTAAGTTTACCATCATTTAGTTGAGACGCCTGTTCATTCTAAGGCTGATAAGTTTATTCCTGACATCCCTGTGACTCATCTGTCTTCTCAGTCTCAGCTGTGCTCTAGTGTTCCTGTTCCTCGTCTCTCGAATACTCTGTCCCTACCCACCCTATCAATTTCTTCTTAGTATTTTATACGTCGTTATCATATCACTCTTAGCTCATCTGTCCTCTAATGTCATCAGGTTTAGCTCGTTAAATTTCTCCTCACAAGACATATCACTGAGCTCCGGGACTAGCCTCGTTGCATATCTCTATACTTTCTGTTCTTAACATTTTGATAAATCGGACACATGAGCAACACTTGGGTACCTCTATTGTGGAAACGTTTCGCAAGACAGTGGCTTCATTAGTCCAGTACAAAGAATAGCGATCAGGAGATTGAGGTTACAGCTTATGTTCTAATTAATTAACTTGTCGGTTCTCTGAACCATTTATCTACATGTTCTTGACATGTTTGATCGGGAGTGGGTCTACCCTGGTAGCTCATACTCCAATATGTGCCTCACACATGTCGTGACTCCTTGCTTAAGTTCCTGAGAGCTAACATTAGATTTGCCAAATGTGCATTTGCTGCGGCAGTTATTTGGTTGATGTGTGCTCAGGCAATATGTTTGGAACAATGCTTACCCAGAGGTACTTTTTGAGTAAAGTTTGCAGCCTTTACTCGACTTGTCCGTTCTCTGAACCATTTATCTACAAGTCCCTCGAATCTACACTCTGTCTGCGGTATTTTTCCGTCACCAGTCTTCATAATTATGTATATGGTTGGATTATATTATAATAGTCACTTAGATTATTACTGATTGCATTGAATTTGTAATTTAATTAATAATTACTTAATTTTACCCTTTTAAAACCTAATTAAATAACCCCCTTTCTTGACACCTAATTTTTAACCTTTACACGCCTTTTAAAAACTGGGTTTTGGCAATCTGGGACGACTTAAAAATTTATAGCCACACATCGACTCCACTTTTTTTTCCCCTTACTGAAGCCTACTCAAAGTAAATTTAAAATACTGGGTTAAAATTTAATTAAAAACTTTTTCATTTAAAACCTGTTCATAGACATGGTTTTGAAATCCAAAAAACTTTAACTTAAGTTTATTAAAAACTGACATCAAATTTTAAAAATAACATGGGCCAACAGGATTTTTTACTGTCATATTAAGTTGCCAAATATACACCTGTTCTTTTAACGTTTTTGTTTTGGGTGGGGGGGTTTTTTTGTTTTTGTTTTTGTAAAGATTTCCCGGAAAAACCCATGACGTGTGTTTTGGGTTGTTCCCCGAAATTAAAGTTCACGTGTTTCTACTCAAGGGAAGCAAAATTAAAACCCCAATCATTAGAAAAACGCACCAAATTTCAGGAATCCTAGATCAAAAACTCTTTTTTCAGTGGTGATGTTGGGGTTTGTGGAGCCCAAAACAGAGTGACAAAGACTTTGCATTCCAGTTCCTTTTGTTTTCACTTCTTCACCCTGGTAATGATGGGGCGTTGGGAATCGCCAATGCCTTCTCAGGTCCCCCC